TAAATCTCTGCTGGTTGTAGAGTATTCTCTTATTGTGTTCACTCCCCTGGTGCATAAATATTGATATTGGAGCATCTATCTTCCTTCTTCATGTTAGGCAAAGCTGATATATAGAGCTGATAACAAAACTCGGATAGGAAGATCGTTAGTACATGGTAAGAATATAGGTTCAATTGTTAAAGAAGCTAGACCTTTCAGGAACCATATCTTAGCTTTTAAATGGGAAGAAAGAGATTCACCTTTGTAGAGGTGTTTAAGTTGCCAGATCACCTTTACTTTTGTGCATTTAAAAGTTTAGAAGAGTTGGCAGGTATTTAATTTTTAAAAAAAGAATTAATAAGGAGAGAATGTACTAGAATCCGCTAACAGGTGTCAGAACTATTTGATTTCTATATTTTTACTACTCATGCTTGCCCTTTAACGTGATTTTGTGTGTATTAAGCATTGATAGAATGTCTCATTAGTCATCAATCCTCTGCACATAGAATATCAACAATTATAAATTCCTTGTGACTCTTCTCTTTTGTTGTATACAGATACAAGCAGCCTTTCGCACAGATGAAATCAGGAGGACTCCACCAACTCCACAAGATGAGATGAGGGCGGGGATGAGTTACTTCCATGAGACAATATGGAAGGGAGTGCCGAAATTCCTACGCCGTGTTGACACTGCTTTGAAGAATATTGGAATAAATGAACGTGTTCCCTACAATGCCCCTCTCATTCAGTTCTCTTCTTGGATGGGTGGTGATCGAGATGGTATGCCCTTTCTATACAAGTAGCATTGTCTTTTTTTTTGTTTCACTCATTGAAAGTCAGATTAAGCACATATTAGAAGGAACTAACACTGATACAAGCAGAACTTATAGTTGGTTTAAGATTCTTTAGTTTATTGGAATTCTCGAAGGTCAATGAGTTCGGTTTGTTTAGTTGATGTGTTCTCAATTCATTCACAATTTTGTAGTATCTGAAACATCATAGCTAGATGGTAAAATGGTACTTTTAAAGCTTTACAATATGCATTAGGTTAGAGCAGTAGAAGCATCTTACTTATGATTCTCAAGTGACATAAGAAAATATTCTCCTTGAAGCTCAATGTAATTGCATGCCAATTTTGAATGTTTTGTGAAGGCACCAACAAATTTTGATGTGCATGCAGGCAACCCTAGAGTAACCCCGGAAGTGACAAGAGATGTGTGCTTATTGGCTAGAATGATGGCTGCAAATCTGTATTTCTCTCAGATTGAGGATCTTATGTTTGAGGTGACAAATTGGCTACTGAATGTCGTTGCCTGCAATTTGCCTCCATCCTGTACTAAATTTTTTTGTCTTGCCCACTTTATCTTGCTTATGCCAGCTTTCAATGTGGCGATGCAATGATGAGCTCCGTGTCCGTGCAGAAGAACTTCATAGGACTTCCAAAAGAGATGCAAAGCACTACATTGGTATTTACCCCCGTTCTCTGTTCTGCTACCAGATTAGTTTTCTGAAAGTGTATTGGGTTGGAGCTCACATATCATTCTCTTCGGCCTTACCTTTCTCTTTTTATGATTATTGTTGCTAATATTCTATGTTTTCTCTCCCTCCTACCCTTCAACTACTAACTGTTTCTTCTTGCTTAATCTACTAATACAGAATTTTGGAAGAAAATTCCACCGAATGAGCCCTACCGTGTTCTTCTTGCTGATGTGAGAGATAGGTTATATAATACACAGGAACGAGCTCGTCAGTTACTAGCCAATGGGTATTCTGATGTTCCTGAGGAGTCGACATTCACAAATCTTGAACAGGTGTCCTTCAGAAACTCTTTTTATTTCTGCTCACCTCTTCAATGATATAGAAATTGTTAGTTTGACTTCCAAATTTACCTATGCTGAACAGATATCTTTTTCATTTCCAATATGTGTTGGCAATGATATTTCATCTAGGATTCATATGTGATTTTTAGTTATTTTTATTTGGATGTCTTAAGTAGCTAACTGATAGTCTATTGACTAAATGTTGAAGGACAGAACGAAAATAGTTTATGTAAGATAATGAGGAAACGAACTCAAGCGAGCTTTTGGAATTCTTGTTTGACAATATTCATCTTGCTTTAACGAAGTTCTAACATACTACACAACACCAATTTTGTGGGCCAAGTTCAGTTTTTTTTTAGGATTTTATATATCACCCAAATTAACGTGGTTCTCATTTCTCAAATGTTATTTCATGGCATTCAGATTCTGCTAATATGCATGCCAATTTCTGTATGATTTGAATATGTGAAGAAGTTGGTTGTCTTTATTCTGCAGTTTCTGGAACCTCTGGAGCTGTGCTATAGATCTCTATGCGCTTGTGGTGACAGACCAATTGCAGATGGAAGCCTTCTTGATTTTTTAAGGCAAGTGTCCACCTTTGGTCTGTCGCTTGTGAGACTTGATATTCGGCAAGAGTCAGATAGACACACTGATGTTCTAGATGTTATAACAAGGCACGTGGGTGTTGGCTCCTATAAAGAATGGTCTGAAGAGAAGAGACAGGAATGGCTCTTATCTGAACTAAGTGGCAAGCGTCCACTTTTTGGACCTGATCTCCCTAAAACTGATGAAGTCGCTGATGTTTTGGATACCTTTCATGTCATCTCCGAACTTCCCGCCGACAGTTTCGGTGCTTATATAATTTCGATGGCCACGGCACCCTCTGATGTGCTTGCTGTTGAGCTTTTGCAGCGTGAATGTCATGTAAAAAGTCCATTGAGGGTTGTTCCGTTGTTTGAAAAGCTTGCTGATCTCGAGTCTGCACCTGCTTCTGTTGCTCGGTTGTTCTCCATAGATTGGTACAGAAACCGTATCAATGGGAAACAAGAAGTTATGATTGGGTATTCTGATTCCGGTAAGGATGCTGGCCGACTATCTGCAGCTTGGCAATTGTACAAGGCTCAAGAGGAACTTGTAAAGGTGGCAAAAGAATTTGGAGTAAAGCTAACAATGTTCCATGGCCGAGGTGGGACTGTAGGAAGGGGAGGGGGTCCCACCCACCTTGCTATTTTATCACAACCCCCAGACACAATTCATGGCTCACTTCGTGTGACTGTTCAAGGTGAAGTTATTGAACAGTCATTTGGGGAGGAACACCTGTGCTTTAGAACTCTTCAGCGTTTCACAGCAGCTACACTTGAGCATGGAATGAACCCCCCTGTGGCTCCTAATCCAGAGTGGCGTGCCCTCTTGGATGAGATGTCTGTTGTTGCTACGAAAGAGTATCGGTCTTTAGTGTTCCAGGATCCACGATTTGTTGAATACTTCCGCCTTGTGAGTATATTCAAGTTACTTCATAAGTTGATTTGAACTGCTTTTGAATGACTCTTAATCATAATAGAAAAAGAGGTATAAGAAAAAAAAATCCAGAAACCATAAGATTCAAAGAATTGAAGGGGACACAAACAGTAGATTTAATTAGGTGAAAGCAGTCGGTTTAATAATTAGTCAAAGTAGGTATGAATGGCAATTGCATTTCAGACATTGATGACTTATTTGCCTTCAGCCCGATGCCTATGAAACTGAACTTCCTTTTTATGTTTGTCTAAAATGCAGGCAACCCCAGAATTAGAATATGGTCGCATGAACATTGGAAGTCGCCCAGCCAAAAGGAAGCCAAGTGGTGGGATTGAATCTCTTCGAGCTATTCCATGGATCTTTGCATGGACTCAGACAAGGTTTCATCTCCCAGTCTGGCTTGGCTTTGGGGCTGCATTCAAGCACGTTATTGAGAAGGATATAAGAAATCTGCAAATGCTCAAGGATATGTACAATGGATGGCCTTTCTTTAGAGTGACACTTGACTTGCTCGAAATGGTCTTCGCTAAGGGAGACCCTGGTATTGCTGCATTGTATGATAAACTTTTAGTATCCGAAGATCTGTGGCCGCTTGGAGAGCGATTGAGATCCAAATACGAAGAAACAAAGGGCTTTCTCCTTCAGGTACAGAAATTAATACTATTATTTTACCTCATCACCACAAAGCTCACATCCTATGGAAAATCTCTTTTAATTGCGCTGCTTGTCATAGGTTGCTGGGCACAAGGATCTATTGGAAGGAGATCCATACTTGAGGCAAAGGCTCAAACTTCGTGATTCTTACATCACGACCCTTAACGTAAGCCAAGCATACACATTGAAACGAATTCGTGACCCCAACTACAATGTGAAGGTCAGACCTCACCTAGACAAGGAGATCATGGAATCAAGCAAACCAGCTGCTGAATTAGTGAAGCTGAATCCTACGAGCGAGTATGCGCCTGGCTTGGAAGACACCCTCATCTTGACCATGAAAGGTATTGCTGCTGGAATGCAGAACACTGGTTAAGGCTAAGGCTATTATGTATGTATAATAATAAGTGATATTGTCTTTCAACTTTTATAAATCCTATGTCTGTTCAAGAATAATAATGATGAGATGTTTCTGAAGGATTTGAGTGTGTGATTTTTGATTCATACGTTCTTGAATATTATACATGGAGTAATTTAAAAAACTCAAGAATCATCGGTCTCTAACTTGAAATTGCAACGAGTTGATATGTGATCTGATGTTGAATTCCAACGACTGAATGAAATTTTTAGCCAAGCATCCGTTGGTAAAACATTATGTTAATGATACATTTTATGTTAGATATCTTGCATTATAATTTTTGTATACTAGTCATAAAAATTGATTTTGGTTTCAAAATATACAAGAGGGTCATTTGGTCTGATTCCAAAGACTAGTTATGTAGGGGTTAATTATTTTCGTACTATTTTTTGTTGTTGTTGATAGTGTGATTTGTAATATTAAAGATCACATGAATTATATAGTTTTGAAAGACCTCATGAGTATTTTTATCCGGAAACAATTAGTCTCGATACCATTATTTCACCCTCTAGCATGAGTAATTTATCTCAATACTAATAATTAATCCTAATTAACAACCAAAGGAGAGATATGATCATCTTTTATCTTTTGTTTAGCAAAAATAACAAATGTTTAATTATGTATCGATGTACATATATAATTAATCGAACTTGCTCTTGTATAATAGAAAGTGGCACAAAATGGAAACTCCTGATAATCGTAATTAACTAGAAGAATTTACACTCTTTTTTTTTTTTATGGAAAACGATTCATAAACCTTCAACGGGATAAGAAACTTGAGATTATCAACGAAACTGAGAGCACGATCTAGTATATATAAGAATTTACATGAGGAAATCATCGATTTGTTCAATCCATCCAGTGATAAATTGAGTATAGATGTTGTAGCTCATTTTTCGAATCCAACGTCTTCCTGAACTTTTTTCTCCTCTGCAACAAGAAATATCGAGTGTGAGACAGGACATACATACTAGTATTTGACGTGACAAAAAGAACAGTCTGATGCAGTAAGCTCCATGTATATCCGGAGAAGAGCTGGACACAAGGGTCCACTGTACTCAACCTTACCCTGCTGGTTTCCAGGGCTTGAACCCGTGACCCCCTAGACAACAACTTTACTGGTTATTCCACGGCATGGTTCTAAACAAGTTCTATACTAAGATGGAACACGAAAATTTGAACACATTTATTCAAATCTAAGATTCATGGTAATTTGAAAATATGATAAAAGTTGTAGATGGGAGGTTCAGTTGAAGCATACCTACTATTTTCATTAGAGGTTGATGGAAAATCATAAAAACTAGAGCTAAGCTTGTGACTTATTTCCAATGATCGATACACCTTCCTCGATTGCTTGGACAAAAGTTGCAATCTTGTAAGTGAAAAATCCGACTAGCATGGGTATCAACTCGAGGTGCATGAATCCATACTCTGGGACTAGGATCCTGGAAATAAATCAAATTGTAAGATCAAATGCTTAGGCAACTCTTCATAACAATGAAAGAGAAGTCATTAAAGTATTCTTTGGATGCAAGTGTAGTAGAAGTAAAAAGGGGGGAATGCGGAAAAAAGTTAAACTAGGCTGGATTTTTTGGCGTGTACAAGCAGGAAAATGGCGAGAAAATGGATCAAGAGAGGAAGTTGAAGCCCCATAAAATAGCCCCAACTTCCTTGAGTTCAGATTGCAGATAGATTTATGCTACCAATAGTAGTTTTCAGAAAATAAACAAGAGGTTCTAAGAAATTTGCTTGAATCAAGAAGAGAAGTTTTATTTAACAGTTAATCTCGACACATATCTTTTTGGTCAATATCGTAATAGTGGTAGAGCTTACCCATTCCACCGATTAAAAATCATGACCAAAGTAACAGGAACCAATAGCCTTGGCTGCCCAACAGCTCCCCTGAAATTAAAAGTTCGGTTAAGCTTATCAAGCAGAGCTCAAAACAGTCCGTTTTAGGGATATAGCTACTCTTCTTAGTCTCAAACAACAGCATCATTTAATCATGCAAGTGTTTGGCTTCTACTATGACTGTGAGTTAATGACTTCCAATCCTGGAACGATGAAACTGACAATTCGCTAAGAACTACTATTTGAGTGACCACGTACAATTACAATTCAAAAATGACAATATCGATTTAAATGTGATGAAGTGGTAATAGGATGCTCCATTAACAATTTTACAAAATGCTGTAAAATAGTAGCAGTGTAGCTCATGCAAAACGCATAAGAAAATTGGGCTTCCTATTGTCAATTGGCATCAATCGCCTCCATTAAGACACGCACATGCAACACAAAGAAACAAATGATGTTTAGGTTTGAGATAATGCAAGAATGGCATAGAAGGAGCCATTTGGTAAAGATAAACAATCAAAAAATGTACTTAATAAGTGCTCTGGGTCCATCTGACTGCATAGAATCCACACTGTTTCCAAGCATACGCATGTACATCAAAGAACCAATCAACCCAGCAGTGTAACTGCAAGAATGAAAAAATACAACAGTTCATTAACACCACAATTTCTGCATGAGTGCTATTGCCAGATTTGAAAAAACTAAAGATTCCTTACATTAATTAAATCTAAGCAAAGAGAAGCTAAAAACGTCCAGGCCTGACAGAGGACATTACAAGAATTCTAGCAGCTAAAGATATTTCAGTCGAGGAAATTTCCATACATTGCATCAGTTACACAAATCAGAAGAAATAAGCAAATTAAGATTCTCTTCGTCAAGAAATTTTTCAAACTGACAACTTAAGGGACCAATATACTAATTGGAGGAACGGTTTGTAATAAATAGGGGTCATGTCCCACTACAACAATAGTAAATCAAACACGAGTAATTCTAACGTTGACGTGTAAAGGAATTAAAGCATATAGCCATATAGGAAGTTTTGGATTACCTTACTGTTATTTCAGGAGAATAAGAGATATAAGCTGAAATCACACCAACACCACCAATCCCAACTGTGAGGAGCTGCAATTTATTCTTTAACTGGAAAGACAAGAAAAAGGAACAATCAAAACGGTGATATGAAAAGTCAATTTATCTCAACAAAGAGTGATTTATGCGGAATAAACACAAACAAGTACCTTAAGATACTGTTCCCTTGACTGAGCAGCCATAACCTTTGGATCCCCTTGAGGACGTTTTATTTCCCTCAACATCACGTCCTGGATGATAAAAAAATTTCGGAACTACAACTTAGAGAACCATATTTCTCTATCTTATTAGTTAGAGACGAGGTGAGCAAAGAAATATTATAAATTAAGTTACAAGCAATGAACTAATTGCAAGCTTCAATGACGTACACTGCCCCCAGTTGCAGCCTTGGCAGCTTTGCCCCATTTCTCCTGCTCGCGTCGTGTTGGTGCTGGCCGCCATTTTTGAGATGCAGTAAAACCAGCCTGAAAATCAGTTTAGTTTTCAACAATGGTAGTAGAAAAGGCTAATGCTTAAAGATGCTGAAGGCAAGTGTTTTAAAGTTACCACATACTTGAGTATTTTCGACTTCTGGTTCTAGAACAGGTTGTGAAGGGGCAGTTAGCTCCTTGGTCAAGTCAACTTCCAAACTATTCTCCATATGTGATTAAATATTAGAAGGAAACAAAATTTCTAAATTTGTATGAAGAAAAGAAGAAAAGGATCACACCTGTCAAGATTCATGACTCTGTTTAAGCTAAGAAATCCTGATATCTCTTCCTGTTAAGATATAAAGTCACAAGAATATTCACAACCATTGAAAAAAAATGGTACTCCTTAAGCAACATGCATGTATTATGACCAACATATAATGCAACACGCTAACGGCAACTTTTTATATCCTTCATACAAGAGTACCACACAGATAGAACACACCCCCATGAAATTTTATGTGACCTTACTTCCTTTTTAGTTCATTCCAAAAAGAATGAGTTCTTGCTAAATTTGGAAATAATTTAACTAAAACTTGTTCTACTCTTATTAGACGCTTTTATAGCCTCATATATGTTACTGTATGACATAGTTAAGATCACATTGTTTCAAAAGTCTAATAGTCACATAAAAGTTATGATATAATTAACGCCACAAGTTTCAAAAGTGTTCATTACTTTGTTTAACTCCGTTCCAATTCAAATAAGTTCATTAAAATGAACACTTTTGAAACTTGTTAATTGCCAAACCATTAAAATGACCAAGAGGGTTAAGTGCCCATCATGAAAACTAGCATGTACACCAATAAAGAGAAGCTTATCAATTAAATAAAGATTTCATCACAAAACATATTTCCTCCGTCCACTTAAACTTGTCCATTATACGACAAATAGGTATTCACTTTTACTTGACAAGTTCGAAAAATTAAGAGATAACTTATCACTTAGTTCCTAATTTACCCTTATTATTAACTATATTCAATTACCCAATGCACTTCCCAAGCCTTAAGGGATGAGCCAAGTTAATTTACCAGATGCATTTCCCAAACCTTGAGAGGTCGTTTGGTTGGGAAAAAGTTATCCTTAATAATTATTCCGGGACATCCAAGTATATAGGATAACTTATCCCGTATAAATGGTGGAATAAATAATTTAAAGACTACTAATACCTCCAACCACATGCAAGGACAAAATAATCCTGCATTTTATCCCGGAATTGTTATACCTTATACCTCGCACCAAATGAATACTAGGGGGGAGCAAAGTCAATAGTGAACAAGTAAACATGGAACTCAGAACAACACAACAGAGAATAGAACCAAAAATTCAAATCATAGAAAAGATAAAATCTTTTGTGAAAAAAGCATGTCATAAGTTATGACTAGAACAGCTCAAAAAAGATGAACGCGTAGTAAGGGTCAATTAAGCCAAAGATTATACCTTTACAGCAGCAGCAGGGGCATTTTCTTGAGGATCCTGAATATACTTCTTCATGCGACCCATAAATTCCTTATTCCATATAAAATCATCAGAGGTGAGAGGATCCACATCCTCACCCCAGTACTTCCTAAGCTTAGTAGTGGTAGTGGGCGGGTCAGCAGCATAGTCCCCATTAGCAGCCACCCCACTAGACAATTTCACAGATTTCTGCTTGGATTGTGTTGGAATTGACAATGGGGTTGGATTGTTTGAAGAATCTTGAGATATGGGTGTGGCTGTAGAGGTAATTGGGAGGTAGCAGTAGCTTAGAACTCCCATTTTTGTTCAATTTGGAGTGATGGGGTTGTGTTTTTTGATCTTATAGACAAGGGAAAATAAATATCTTAGTGCCAATTGGTAGTAAATGATAAGGGTGGACCCTTTTTGATGATAACATTGCTTCCTTTTTATTGTTTGGCTATGAAAAAGTTTTGATTGGATATTTCTGAAGAAGTTTGTATAAAATGTACTCGGTTCGAATACTACGGTATATATATATTTTTGATAGAGAGCGTTTTTTCTAGAATGAATCTTATACGAGTGAATTTAGAATTGTCAAATGATTAGCAAATGATTTTTGGATAGAATTTAGACACCATTGTAAAATGATTATCTTTTCATTCATTCAAATTCGTTTAAACTCATTTTTACAAAATTAACATTAATTTTTGTCTTTGAGTCGAAGATGATCAAACTATAATATATAAATTGAAGATGTGGAAATAAAATATTTGACATCTGATATGAAGTTTTATATATAAGTTGATTGTTAAAAAGAAAATAATCATATTAAAATATTATTTTGTTAATGTTCGAAGATAATTTAATGATATTCATTTTGTTAATTTCCTCCTTTGTAACATACACAATATTTGACACCTAAGTACATGATGAGCAATGTAAATTATTTTCCTTTTGTATGATTTGTTGCTTAAAACAAAAATATTTACAAGGAATTTGTGTAACAATTAAATTTATGAAAGGGAAGAATCAAGTCCCCCAATGGATAGTAGAAATTTCAATGGATATGTCTTTTAATATGTTCTTTAAATCGAATTTTACCCTAACGTTTGATCCACAAATAATAGCGTGTCTGCATATGCACCAATTAACTTTAGATATATTTCATTGTGTATTCTACAACATAAAAGCTAATTTCATACACCAATTAATCGATTGTCAAATTTTGACCTAATAATGGATCCACAAAGGGTAGGGTGTGATGCATATAACTTTAAGATATATTTCATTGTGTATTCTATAACACAAAAGCTGATTTGATACACGAGTCCAAAATCTATTATCTTTAGCCTTGTGCACGTTAAGTGAGGTTCAAGACCATCAAACCATATAGACTAATGTAAATTGTACATATTTTACTTGTTTAATTTATAACTATCCAGATACATTGAAATTTACATATGTCTAACAATATTTTAAAACGAAACAATACCAGCTTTTGACTAACATACATCCCTCTTCAATAGTGTCAATCTTCTTCAAATCTTATATTCGTTTCACCGAACACAAAATTCGTATGAATTCAACAATAATAACATATTCAGTAAAATTTCACAAGAGAATAGAGTATATGCAGTCTCGATCAGAAGCTATTTTCAAATAAACTCACGACTTAATTAAGCTAAATCAAAGCAATAATAAAACGAAAAAAGAATTGATTCAAACACAATTTACAATCTATTTTGAACAAACCCATTTCCCATCAATCCAATCTTGATGAACTCTCAAATCACTTATAAAATACCCACATTCATCTCCACTACATTCAAAATACACAAAATACCTACTCCCAATTTTACCAGTAATTCTTCCAACCCACCATCCATCATTACCAAACGCATCAACTTGATCATTCAAATTAAATCTACTCACCGGAATCTCCGGCGGAACTGGCCGGAGTTCTGAGTGGGTAACAAACTCCGTCAGGGGATCCGATTGATCATCTTTCAGTAGGGTTTTGTACTGCACGATGTAATCTTTTTTGAGAGGTTGACACACAACAATTGCTTCATAATAAGAACCCAGAAATCCATCTTCTTTGCTTACAACTTCAACAAGATCTCCCCTGCTAAACCCCATCTTCAAAAAAATGATAAGAAGAAAACAAGAAAAGATATTATTGTTGCATGATTGTAGGGAGATAGGTTTTTTTAAAAAATTGATTTTTTTTTTTTGTATTTATTGATGATTTGGGCATTTAAGTAGAATAATACTATCGAAAGGAGTCATATTTGGTCTTGTATTATGAGAAAAAAGGGTTATATTTGTTTTTTATTATACTTTCATTTTTGATATATTTACCCATGTCATTTAACTTCACACACATTTACTCTTGCACGGTTAGGTTTTAGTATCCTGCATCCCTCGTACTTTTGGAACATTGGTGTCTCTACTGTCTAAAAACTAGAGCATAATATGCCCTTTACTCTAACATAATACTAAATTAGAACATGTGGCCAATCTGATCGTATATCTAACAAATATCGGGTCAGTGAATATGATTATGACATGTACATGTCCATTAATATAAATGGCAAATATTAATTTTTGAACTGCAGGAGCACCAATGTTCTAAAAGTATGACGGATAATATCTGCATACCATTTATAATAGTTTGGAATAATAACTCTTAGCACAAAATGAATTAGGTGTCTCATTACCTATTATATGATAGATAATTGAATCTTTCCAACGCCACCGGATTTGCTAAAATCCTATCTATAATTTGTCCTTTTTCCCATAAATTTATTTACTTGAAGTCACATTCTATTATACCAAATCCAATAATATACCCACCCATTTAACTCATTGCAAATTAGTCGAGGAACAAGCAAACTAGCTCGAACAGCCCAAACTATATGGAAAAAAATTGTAGAAGAGTATGCAGATGATGTTCACTAGAAAGCAAGTGGCTGATGAGAAAAGTTAGTAATCAAATTGCAAATAGTAATCCTAGATACCCCTTTATTTCAAACCAGTGAGACTATCATCTCTATTTGTTGCGTTTCTTAGCCTGTTTGCCCTGGCCCTTCTTAGGTGGCCCCTTTCCACGACGTTTCAACATTTCAAGCTTGCTGAGACGCTCTTGCTCTTGACGAGCCATCACAAGAGGGTCATCTTTCATGATATCGTGTGGGTACCATTGTGAGACCTTTTCACCGATCAGCTTCTTGCGTAAAACCTTGTGAGCAGATCGCTGCCCAGTTGGATTAATTACATGACCAAATATCTTGGCCCTTACCTCGGCTAATCCTTCAATCGCTGCAGCAGCTACCACATTTTTCAGTCTCCCTAAGTTCATTTCTTGGATCCAAAAAGAAGCTCAATATTCCGATTCACTGCACAAAGGAGAAGCAGAGTCTCAAAGAAGGTTCAGTGAGAAGCCTAACACAATTGTAAATATATCAGACTCATTGTTCTTGAAAGTAAAAATTGCAACAAAAAAAGGCTAAGGTCCTTAAGTGCAGCATGCAATCAATCGAAAACTAAAGAAATACTAAACATATATAAATTCATCACGAATTAAAACTTTGCTTGTCTTTGATGGACAACAGAATTACAAAATAAGTATACATACAAAACCAGTCATATTTCAAGCACCCCTCAGTTTATAGTTTATATCACATTTCGGATTGATAACATCCTATTTATATTTGGTCCAAACAATGATCAAAATTCAAACAAAACTTCCGTTTAAGAAAAAAAAGAATCAAAGTAACCAACACAGATTGTGTATTACCTACTCAAAACGTCGACACAGATTGTCACATTAGTCCCCTCTATATCACATTCATTCTATTTCTCTGATAAAAATATCACAAGTTGCTCTCAGATAAATACAAAGAATTAGATGCATATTCTCCGCTTTACAGGAACAACAAGATATCGTTGGTCATGCTTTTCCATTAGTATGCTGGGAATGACCAGAATACAAAGTTCTCCAACTATAGAAACAAACGATGGACCGGAAGACTCTAAAAAGGAAAACAGAACAGAAAGCTCGACACAACCTCAGCTTGAAACCTTAGACATGCTTCTAAATTCTCAAAAGGAAAATCATGAAAAGGCTTCCTGAATAACGCCATCAGTCCCCGACTCAATCACAAAATCTCATTCCCATTGTATATTCCATCATCCCAAAAACTTCTAAATCGCCTATATATCAAGAAGAGTTACGAGACATCACTTTCTTTACGTATTTTTGAAGAAAAAAAAAATTACAACATTCCAAAGAGACATCAACCTTCTTATTTGTTCACTAGCACAACATATGTGCAAGGGAAATTAATTCTTTTGACCTGGGAAATCAAATAGTGAATGCATATGCCGGTATGCATCCTAACTCAAGAAATGTAAATGATTTTTCAATTTTCAGGCTTCTAATGCATACCAAGTTTATTTGAACCCCTATTTTGTAAGCCTAAATCAGTCCAATAATTATTTTACAAAGAAGTATCCACTTTTTCCTATTTATTTGAGCTTTGGTGGACAGAGTTAGCTGAAATATGCACAGAACATAGAACTATTCAAATTAACCTATTGAAAATATGAAACTAATCCACAAAAACAGTGAACTTTATGAAGTAAATCATTTCATTGATAACATGTAAACAACAACTAAGCAAAATCAGAGAAATGTAAACAACAAGCTAAATTTCAACTTTAGAAAAAATGGAAAGCACAAACTAATTTACTCGTTGCGAAGGAGGTTACGACAGAAAATGTACACATTCAAATTTAAATTAGAAAAAAAAGAAAAAGAAAATGAAGAATGTAGAATGGAGCGAACCTTGATGAGAACAAACGGCTGCCTTGCTTTGTGAGAGACTGGATCCGCCACTTCCAAATATATTGATTACTGTGTAGTATAAGCTCTTGGCTGCTTCAATGGAGTTTTTGAGTGGAAAGAAGGAGAAAAATTGTTCAATAAAATCTCGGGTCTTACTTCTAATCTCATAGAAGTGGGCTGGACACTTTGCATTTTGTTGGGCTCGGAAATTAAGAGGAAAAAAACTGCATATAGACAAACATTGTTATCGTATTTACTAATTCTTTCTATAATTTGAAATAATTACATATAAATTCGTACGATACTTACTAATTCTTTCTATAGTTTCAAATAATGACATATGGTATCACTAATTAATGATTTCATATTGAATTTCAAGTTAGATACATGTACTTTTATTATCAAATACATTAAAAGAGAGAGAAATGCGAATGAGATTTTTAGAGGTAATTAATAATTTCATATCTAAATTCATGTGAATCACACTAAATACATAAGTGAAAGAGAGGAGTGGCAAGCAATAGAAGAAAGAGTTAAGCAAGAGAGTCATTACGCGATCCCACTTATATACCGTGCATTTTTAAATTGAATTACACCTAATTTTAACACCATATATTTGAAACACAATTTGAAAATGAATTCTTGGTATGAACTTCGACGATGCATCTCTTTTAGTAGTTTGTTAAGTTAAATCCAAAGTGGAGATGTAATGGGTGGATTTATGGAGGAAAATGGATCTTAGGTCTTTGTAATTTTTTAAAAAAATTTAAGATTCCTACGGAATCATCATTTTTACACCTAAAAGATCTGAAAATACTATTTTCTTCTTTAAAGCTGCCAAGAAATCTTAATTCTCATCCCAATATCTTGGTACAACAAAGAATAATCAATTGCCAACCTTAGTAAAAGGTATATACTTTTTTTCCGAGGATATGAGATCTCCTGTCTTCTTACAATTTGAATCGAAGTACATAACCTTTAATAGATCTCTTTAAAAAAAAAAAGACAGAGAACTTAAAAAGTCTGTAAAGATTTCTATATGATCAACAGCAATAGCGACAATATGATTTAAAGAGTGTAAGGTATGCTTTCTGAAACTATAGCTACAAAATCATTTCACTTCTGTTTAAGTGGCTGAGCTGGTCTTCCATTGGTTCCAGATTCCTGTGATAAACAACAAAAGGAAGAAAAAAAAAAGTCCAGAAAAATACTATAATGGATGAATCATAAGTAGAAAAAAAACACTTACAAATTTGGCAGCAACTCGCGTCATGAACAGCATCTGGGATCAGTTTCATTTGGCTTTCACCTGTAAAACTAAAAAGCAAAATTTACTTCAAATGGAAATGGTTGCATATTTCATTTTCATTAACAAAAATTGGCCTTAATAGTTAATTTCCTTTCTATTAATATTCCAGATAACATCCTGTGGTACTGTCAGGGAGCCAATATACCTAAAACAATAAAAGTTTGGACTTGCTGTTCTAATTGACAACCAATATCGATTTTACCTTCCTTTTGTTAAGAGCCCTACTTAGCAGAGCGATAGGGTATGAGTCGCATATGCTTGGTCACTTCCAATTCCAACTCCTAAGAGAAGATTGATTTCAATGCAAAAATTGCAACAAAAGAACTTAGAGAAATATATTTATCATAACCAAACGTCAAGAAAGATATCCTTTTACATATAAAGATGGCAGTAAGGAATATAGGAATGTTTCCCTCGTATCTGAGCTAGCTCTCCCAAAATAGATAGACACGGATCAGACAACATTCAAAAAAAAAATGTTAGACGGAGAATTGAAGAAGTAGCTAACCTGGAAAATTGGAAGAAACAACCTTGAGAAGATTAAGCCAGATTTGATCAAAAACTAAAGTAGCTGACTTGAAAATTGTAACTGCAATTAAAAATGGACAAACGAAGAAGAAAAAGTTTGGAAATTGACAGACATGCTTCCATTATGTTTTAGATCTCTTTTCTACTAAATTCAGTGGGTGACCCCTGTAAATTTGTGTTTGTTTTATTTGTGGTTATAACAAACAAACAGGAAAGAGTAAGAAAGCTCTTCCCTGTTTGGAGCAAAAATGTTCCGAGTGCAGGCATGAAAGGCAAAATCAGTGGAATAAAATTTTTGTGGTGGCTAATGGAGAGAACAGAAATAAGCAAAGAAAAATGTCAAAAGGAAATACCAATATTACCCTTGGTTGTAAATCAAGTTAATAATTATATGTCGTCTACAAGTAGAAGGACCAAAAAAAATTATCTTTTAATAATGTACCTCTCCTCCGACAGGGAAAACCCACACACATTAGAATAAGCAGCACAGGCTCACATACCTTAACAGAAGTGTTGCGCCAGTGCAAACCAAAGTTCCCTTGGCAGCAGAATCATTGCTGAACAAGCGGTTGTCGTTGATGGAATGTCACTTGTTCAACAATAGTCGTATGTCACGGGAACTATAGTTTAGCTTATGGTTAGATCCAATGGTCACTCTTTCAGAATTCTGCAAGGAAAAAGATAAATCAGTCGGTTAATAATTATATATGTAGATTTTGTCTGAAGAGGACAACGTTACCAGCAAAATAAGCATTAATATGAAGCGACGGAACGCTGACAGATACAGGAAGTAACAGAGGACAGTTCTCAAAGCCATTCGGTTTACCTGGAGTCGAGGCTGTGATCCGAGGGCGTAAGAAGAAGTTTACTGAACTCTAATGGTTGATAAATAGTATAATTGTATTGTAGTATTAGAAGACAAGATAGTCGTTGAGGTGTTTACTTGCGAAGTAATAAAGCTGCTAGGAAGCAATGAGTGTGCAGCTAACTAACAGGAAAGAAAACCAAAGGCTAAAATCGAAAATCTGATGAAGATGTGCCTTTTGTGGTACCATTACTGGTGCAGAAAGATGCTTGTAGGATAAGTCAGTGGTTGAGTATATCAATATCAGTGGGGTCCTAACCTATAGCAGAAAGAAGCACATACAACATGCAATCCTCATATCTACATATGGAATAGAGATTTAACAGAAGACTAAAAAAAGTGATAAGAGAAGGCCTCAAAGTGAAGACGTTAAATAGAAAATATAGGCTAAAAGAAACGAACAAAGGGTAAGTAAAGTTATCGAAGGCTGAAAGGTACATCTTCGATCAGTAGAGATGCCAATTTTCAGAATATTACAAAAAAGCATGAGCTCAAGTGAGAATATTACAGAAAGGCAGGAAGACATACTACTAATTAACAATTTACAAATTAGTTAGATTGCCCAAAGCTGAAGAGAAAAAATGATGAATAAACATGGCCAAGAAGTATATCCAAATCTGCACAACCTATAAACATCATCACATGACCAGAGGGCTAAGATCAACATAATTTTTGACGTACAGGTAATGCTGTTCGTGTTCTACAAATATTCCATTCCCTTCGGGACAAATGCAGTGCTCAGAATTAACAATAAAACAATGTCCATGAAGTATATGGGCTACCTATGAGAACGGCAGAAATTATGTAGCTGCATAATATCTATCAAAGATCAGATAAAAGGGAATATGGATTAATTCTCATTTCTCAGCATATCCATTAGTTCTCACACTATAGAGTCATTGACCTTATCAGAACATGACATTCTATTCACTAAAATTCATCATCACTGTCATAAAAGTAGAGTTGCAGATTTATTGGTTTCTTGTCACCAGGATTCAAATCATTTATCACATGGCACATTCGTTCTTGAACTCTAAACGTATAGATACCACAATTTCTTCTTGTCAAGTCTGCATTGTAATGCACAACAGGCAGTGTAAATGCAAATAAGCTACTATACGTTCTAATGTATGTCCGAAAGTGTTTATGTTTTCATAATTTCCTGAATATAGAGCACATAAGTTAGTTTGTATTTGGTGTGAGATTATCTTAACCATAAGACTGGCACAACAAAATTTACAAATAGAAACTTTTTTATATGGTACATAGGTTGATCATAGTTCAATATTCAGAGAAGTTCTTATCTTGCCATTGACATGGATACTCTGAAAGGTGAAACTGTAGAAGAGTGAAAGAATGAGAACACATAATTGTATTAATTAAAACATGAGACTATTCACTCTGTTTGTATTATTGCAGCCCATCATTTCACAATGTATTGTATTATTTTGTAGAACAATGTTTGGGTAGATTGTATCGTTTGTTGTTGACAATAATATTTTTCTTGTTTGGCTTTGATTGTATCATGTTGTATTGTAACTGGTAAGTTTACTAAAATACCCTGAACTATTGTATAAAGTAATTTTATCGCCAATTCAAAAATAAAAATAAAAAAATAAGACAGCATATTTCTGCTAATTTGTCACAAATTATGCTTTGTATATGTTTTAAGTCATTAAATTCATGCGAATTCAAATGAAATTAATGAATCTACGTATATGCAAAAATAAATCTGAATAAAAAATAAGCGGCACTTGCACATCTATAAAATAAGGATATATTTATTGTTAATGGGCCTAATCTAGCAAATAAATAATTGAAAGATATCAATGATTCAATATTGTTTTAAGTATCACAAAAATACTGTTAGTGAGATTTTGACTAGGCGAATCACATTACCAAATTCCACATTTTTTTAATAAACCAAAAAGAGTTACAATAATGTTTGGCCGTATGTTTACAAATTTATAAGAAAAAAATCAAACCCAAGCCAAAAACAAACACAATTAAATTCATGCAACTGGTTGTATGAACATTAACTACTAAATAGCACATGCAGCATAAATATGATCTACTAACTTCAAAAACAACCAAGACATGAAACTCAAACATAATTATTTTCAAAAATATTTTTGAAAAGATTTCTCTTCTTTTGGGATCAAGTATATCATACATGGCCCAGAACTTATAGCGAAGTAAGTATTTTTCAACAAGTAGTGTTATTAATTGTTAACTGGCCCAGGCTCTCTTTGCACTATAACATTGTTTGCATGTTAAAGTTCATAAGAAATAGATGTGATGGAAATAAAGAAATGCAATAAAGGTTCTCCATAAACTGAGATATAGTTAAAGCAAAAAAGGAACTTTAAAATATATGGTTATGGACAAAAAAATATACCTGTAATTTCAAAACAAGGGCAGAAACCTGCGCAAATAACATAGTTAACTATAAAGAAAAAACAAGAGTACAAACCTAGGATATGGTATTTTAGGTGGAGTTAAATGATATAGGGTAAAAAAAAATATTAAGGACACAATTTGAAAGAGAAATTAGGTAACAACGCGATCAAACCAAATAGGTCATTACACAAAAGGGCGCTTTTCATTGTTACGTAATGACAGATTTAGCAATACAATTTAATATATTTTAAATAGCAATCAAAAAAAGTTTTTTTGTAAGATATAATACGATACAATGGGTAACGACGATTTAAACCAGATGTAAAACAAACCTTTAATAATGAATGACAGTGGCTAAATTAGCTGTACAGCAAGTTTTTGTTACAAGACTTGAGACCTGATGTTGAACCTTACACAAAAATATTTTCCAATGAGTATTAATGAATTTTGTAGATTCCGCAAAAGCTATGACAACTTACAGTAACTTGCCTTTCTCATAGATGGAGTGAGGATTTCCTTTGTCAAAAGCAGGAAACAAGGGAAGCTCATTAACTGCGTATATAGCAGGCAAAGATCAGACCAGATGTTCAGAATAGTAACTGAAAATGCATATTCATGCTGGGAAAGGAATATGCATTTGCACAAAATGGTGAAACGAAGTGTGTGTTTTTTGAAAAAGGGGCAACTGTAAAACGGTGAAACAGTGTGTTCTATCCAAAGTTCAATAAATTTTAGAACGGATATGTTAACCTATTCTGGAAGTAGAGCAAGAGTTTTCATATTAAGAGTATGCTTTTCATTAGCCATCACAAGTTTGTAGAGTTCGTGGCGCCTAACATTTCTATCGTCGTCTTTCTTATCAGAGTTGGGGTGTTCGCTTGTTTGTCCAGCATCCATGGATATAAAATTTATTGCTCCCAATTTTTTTGTCGCTACAAGTGTTATACCCTCCTTACTACTGTTGGGCCTGTTCCCCCTAACGATTTATCAAATTAGTAGTATTATTTATATGGAAAAATTTTGGATAAAGAAAATATAGAGCAATAAAGATACCCAAACACTTGACCTACTTTAGTTAGCAGATCAAGATGAGCAGTGCATAATTTAACGATTAAATCAAGCCAAAGCTTGATCAAGACTTTACCCAAACACTTGTGACTAGACCTACTTTTTTTTTTTTTTTGATGTACCCAAACACTTGACCTACAGGTTCAACTCTTTCCTCTGCTTCACCTTTTAACCTCAAACTCAGTAGAAACAAAACTAAACTACTGGGAAAATGAAAGTCAACCAAACTATCAGCAGATCAACCAAGTAGCAAGTCAGAATACAAATTTAAACCTTTAGGGGTCATTTGTAGCTAGTTAGAGTTATGCAGGTATGAGTAATGTAGGGATTAGTTATGAGTGAAAATATGTATTATTTTATGTTAGTATTAGTTATTTCACCTTGTATCCTGCATAAAATAATACATAGATTCCCTCATAACTTAATCATGTATTAGCTATGCATATTTCTAAATTGCAAAGCAAACACTGAACTAACTTTATACATGAATAATTTACCTCCTAATCCGCTACCACAGCATTACTTATGCAGAATTTAATACTGCATAACTAACATCTAAACAAGCTATCAAGGGACACCTTAGTTCAAATAGATAACAAATGATGGTGGTTTCTATCGAATCTGATAACATATGAGAACACCATCAGAATGGACCCCGAAAGTCTGTATGGAAGAGTGTGGCACCAATTAAGTTGAATGCTTCACCTGTCTAGTAGTTAGACGAGCTAGAGCTGGTCGGACTCATGACACACTGTAGAAAAGGGAAAAATCTACATGGCTTCTAGATGCTCGTTAGGTAAGGAGGATTTAGAGACAAACAACCACCTTTTCTATGGTGTAGAGTTTCATCATAAGTGTTGGCATTTTTCATCAATTTGGCTAAGGTGAATTTTAAGTTGTTGGATAAGGAGGGGAGGTAGCAAGAGCCAGGAAGATTTGGTGCAAAACAATGCCTGCCTGTATTTGGTGGAACATTTAGAAGGAAAGAAATGAAAGGATTTTTGATGGCAAAGAGATCTCCATACAGAAGATGTCGCGTTATCAAGCAAATGGCCCGGCAGGCATGTTGACGAAACAGAGACCTGAAGCAGGTAAGAGTTGCTTCTCATATAAGAGAAATGTAAAATTTACCTACTAAAGTTTCGTTTAACGGCCAAATGCCTCATGGGGTGTTTTCTGGCTCCTCCTTCAAGGACTCCTCCATCTTATTTATCGACTAAACAGAATTGTACCACCTAGTTACCCTTTTTCAGAAACTTCTAGTTCTCTATGTTGTACGAGGAGGGACGGTTATTAACCTAGACTTACTGAATAAGAATTCAACCAAGTTCTTGAACACATGCTGATACGAAATTAATGCACTGTATTTGGCTTTTGAAAGAAGAAAAGAAGAAGGGAAGATCTCTATACCTTTACCTTCTCATTTTTTCATCTTAGAATCTAAAGATTGACAATATCCCTTTCATTTTTTTTATATCCCTCTCTTCTTAGTTGCTCATCATACCTACTTGTGGCTTTGTTGAATTATTTACCCCTTGCAGTAGCAATGACCCGCAACTCTCAAAGGGGTTACCAACCAGCCGAATCACTATAGCAAACCCTCTCTTTACTTAATGGATAGCTTTTATTCTCTTTCAGTAAGTAAAATGAGAAATTGGGGAGAAAGAAGAAAAGCTAAATATGGTGCGTGAAAGCTGGGCCGGCACCACGGTCATCAAACAAAAAAAAGAAGAAAAGCTAAATATGGTAATGAAGCCAGTGTTGGCATTTGCTACCTAAATGCCACTGCACCCTATACTCACTGACTAAAGACAGAGGCGCATAGTATTGGACTAAATTATGACCACTGTAGACCTGTGTCATTGACAAATATAAGCCAGTCAAGCACACATATTGTTTTATAGTAGATTTCTTGCATAATGAGCAAAATTAAATTAATGCTAAAGGAGGAAATACCAACAAAGAAACCCATACATTTCCCTTTCTTAAAGCAAAATACTTCAGCAAAGAGTGGTTGCATGAACTTTCTAGCTAGTACATCAACAGAACCCCTAATGCAACTGCATGTTAATGGCAACTGAAATTGGAATTTCAGTCAAGACGAAGACTAAAATCCTATCAGCAAGATGTAGAAGAGAAGAGGAAGATGAAGGAACCTTGTTGTCAGATCAACACAATAAAAAGAAAGGCATGTGATCATGACAACTAAATTCTGTTAATTAAGTGGTCTTTAGAATTACCACTGAGAAAATTGGAGACAGTAGGCAGTTAACTTGCAAACAACTATCCAAGACTATTCAACCATTCTAGATGCAAGAGTTTGGCACCCAAGAAAAAATATCGTCATACACTTTAATTGGAGTAATGATAGGCAATTGTTGGATCTGTGATTACGATTTATTGGACTGAGTTGGGCTATACCTATATCCTTAAAAGAACCGTTAAGTTGCTGGAAAGAAAGAAGGATCACAAGGAATCTGAAGATAATTTGGAAGACTGTCCAGCATGTACTGTTTGGGTCTTCTGGAGTAATAACATGAATAGCTACCCAAGGAAGAAACACGACAGATCCTCTACCAAATCCAATTTCAGTAAATAGGCAGTGCAAAAATTTTCTAGTATACTGAAGAAACCCAAGGTGCAAAGACCGAAGGAAACAGCAAATCACTAGACAATCATTCCCTGCTATAAGATCAACAAACTATGAAGAAACAAAAAACTCTACAAACGCATATGAAGAAACTAAGTTCTGTTCATAGAAGTGATTTTTGGCAGTATCACTGAGGGTCAACATATTTGGCTAGAAGCAGTAAGCCAATTTTTCAACTATAATCCAAGACAGATAGATAGAATAACACATGAACCATAAAAGTATAATGCACCAAACATCCACCAGGAAAGAAATTAAGACAAGCGTTTACAGTCTGCCTTTAGAACAAAGAGTTTCAGTACCCTAGAGAATTAAATGTGCCATACACTTCTGGCTCATGGAAACTTTGACCTTACACAATACATCAAAGAGGTCTTCAATGCCAGCCTGAACCCTGCAATGCAATGTAATGTTTGCATGAAATTGAGAAGACTTATAAGAGAAAACAAGTTGGCATATGCCTAAGGGATCAGCACCTAAACTTCAGTGACTAACTTCAATTGAAAACTTACTGAGCTAAAGGACTTCAAGTCCAACTACTCTTCCTTTCTTTCTTCCGCAATCCACTCATGTGAGAAAGAGATGCACTCCGCTCTCTATATTAGATTTTGCCCTTGAGATCCTTTTTTTCCCATCTTTGGGGTCTCTCTTCCATAAATCGGATGACTCCTCACAAGCATCTCCAACACAATTATTTGTCCATCTATCAGGTAAAACAAGGCTCTCTTTGTAAAAATTAACATAGCGTGGATTGTAACACCAATCATTTGATGAGTTACCAATGTCAATATCTGTAAACCTACCAATTGTGTGATCAACAGAAACCAATAATCTTTGGCTACCTTTCCATAAGATTTCACCATTTTTCCTTATAGCCATTGGCTTAATAAAGTCATTAGCAAACTCAAACTCAGTTGGAGCAGCCGTTCCAAGGTAAGGTGTCCAAAAGATATCTTCACGAAGAGGAAAATGTAGTGCAAAGTGATAATTTTGGATGCTGAACTGTTTCTCCCATGAGTCTGGCACACCATACTCTTTCATCATCCAAATCTTAATAGGTTCACGTTTGTCATAGTTATTATCAACCAAACAAAGACATCCCTCTGACGCAAAAAGGAAGACTTCATCAAAATGTGTTTGTGACTCACTGATTAAACTACTCGGCAATATCATATCTGAGAATGTCTCATCATGCATGTTGAACACAAGAATCACCCTCCGATTCCTCCGAGCTGGTGTAAACTCCAATTTAGTAGTAATCCAATGACAAGCGCCGTTCACATACACCTGTGGGCCCTGTGGCTCAATGGAAATTAATATGTAAGGCTCAGGGACATTGGAAATGTCTTCCCAAACACCAGTACTTAACTTATAAAGATCAGCATGTGGCTTTGATTGTCCCATAGCGTGTACTACTCTTACCACCTTGTAGTCATTAGTAACCGAATCAAACCCAAACCCCAGTGTGAAACGATAGGTACTACGAACTGGTTCAGGGAGTTTTACCGACTTTCTGATGGATAGGTTACAAAAATATAAATGGGTCAAGATGGCGGAGTCGGCGTCGGCATCGGTATCGGCGTCGGCGTCGGTGTCGGTGTCGGCGTCGGTGTCGGTGTCGGCGAGGCACAAAATACCATTAACACTACCCACTATACTAACGGAACCTCTACGAAATGAAAAATCTAAGAAATGGTCGGGATCCAACCTCTCATTGTTACCAAACAAAGGATACATATCTAATCGAGTGCTTCTACCATAATTCCTAATCAGCATATGATCATCTCGTTTTCGATTGAGATGTGTGAAGGTAAAGCTAGGGCTAGTAAGAAGAGAATACCATGACTTGCAAACACTTCTGCATCGGAGGATTGATTTGACTGGTAGTTTTGTGAAGATATCAACCAATAATTCTTGAGGCAAATAATCCGACATTTCTCACCGGCGACGGATCTCTTCACTGGAGCTGAATTTCTGCAAATTAACCCCAATCTTCTACACACTGGTTGAATCCTAATTTTGCTTCATGTTAATTGTGCAGCTTCATGATTATATTTCCAGTTTAAACACTCAACTTTTAAAAACTACAATGTGGTACATTTGGAAACAGAAAAGTTTATATATACCTCCAATTTTGCATTTAGTGCATATATATTCATTGGGAAACTTTCACTTATAGCCCATTTAAAAATAGTCTAATTACTCTTCATACTTATAATTTGATAATTATAATTTGTGGTTACATGTTATATAGAGGAAAGAGGCGAGGGATATTGGGAGAGAGGGGGAAAGAGTGGGAGAAAGGTGAATTGTATATGTATATCGGTTAGATAATTGTATATCATACATATGTATTTGTACATATGGCAAGTGAAAGTGGAAGAGGTAGCAGAGAGGCGAGCGAGATTGGTAAAGGAGGGAGAAAGGCGAGCGAGAGAGGACGGAGAGTGGGAAAAAGGTGAATTTTTATATGTATATTATACATATACATTTGTATATAGGGCAAGCGAGACTGGAGAGGGAAGAGAGAGGAGAGCGAGAGAGGGGAGAGAAGTGAATTGTATGTGTATATAAGTTAAATAATTGTATATTATACATATTTATTTGTATATTCTAGCGAATTATATATATACAACCTTGACTAATATACAAACTCGAAGTCAACCCATGTAACTAATGTATAATGTTAGTCGTGAGTGGTAATTATAACAAACTATAGCTACGATGAATAATTAAATAATATAAGTTTGCTTTGTTGCGTAATTTTCCTTTATTTATTGTAAAGATTATTAAACTTGAAAAAAAAATTAATTGAGTTTTCTAATTTCAAATTCGTCATGTAGCTTAAAAATTAACTTACTCATTTTTTTATTTATCTAGACCTGACTTTCTACATCAACTCAATTTTTCTTTTATTCAAGCTCGATTCAAATTTATTTTATGATCGAGTAAAAAAGGGAATGAATTCTTTTTTCATTTGAATTGAGTTTGGACAGATAAAATAATGAATGGGATTTATAAAACTCACGTGAGACTTTTTCAATTAGAAAATCAGTTTTAGTTTTTTTCAAAAAATAAGTATATTAACAAAGATAAATAAGCATGTTTTGTTAAATTGCGGGGTATATATACATTATTTTTTAATGAATGATATGATTACTCTAAATCGTTAAATTGAGGGAGATATTTGCCCATTTATATATATTCCGAGAAATATAATAAATTTTTCGAAACATTTTTTATATAAAAAGTCTAAAATTTTGTTTTGATGTATCAAAAAGTGTCGATGATATTTGATATAAATAATTAATGATTAACTAAAATATAAGTTATTTAAAATATGAAATATACTTTTGGTATCTCAAATAAAAATAAAATCATACATGCAAAAAATAATTGATTAATATAAAGACATATTTCTTATGCATTATTATTTATATAAAAATGAATTAAAATTAATATATGAAATTAACACAGAAAATTTTAAGATTTTCCTTTTAATATCACTACTTGTGATTTCTTTAAATATAATATTCAATATTGTGGACAAGTAAAAAAGATTGATTTTTAATTATATTAAAAAAAATTCATAAAAATGCAAAAGAATGATGTAAGAGACAAAAAAGAGGGAAAATACAAGAAAAGAGAACATGAAAAAATAAGGAAATGAAATGGGTAACTTATGGGACCCACATAATTGTGACACCTTTCAATTATGACCAAAGAATTTTTGGTGGTTTTCTGTACATTTATTTTTATTTTATTTTATTTTATAAAATCATATTTTTAGTTCATACCTCTTCAACCATACAAATTCAATTTTTAAATTAATTTAGTAATGTTTATAACTCTTAACCTTTCATATTCATAACCTTTTAATTACTCAATATGCAAATTTACAATTCCTTAAAAATCAAACTTATAAAAACATCTTGACACATATTTGATGATTATTTTATTTTCATTTTTTTAATTCTTCACCATTTGTTTCTTCACCAATAAATAGGTCTATATGCATAAGGTGGTGGTTAAACAATGACTCTTTAGATAATTTTGGTCGTTATTTCACTAATCGGTTGAATTTACCAAATAACAATTGTCAGTATCTTTAGTGTTGAAGGACGGATTGTACCATGCTATCTTGTGAAGGAAGGGGGTTGAAAAGGAGAGCTAGATGATCTCATTTGTACACATTCTTGTTGATCTTATTTGTGCAAATTTTCACTAAACAGGTAATTCATTAAAAATAAATAATTATATGCAAGATTTTTAAGTTTCTAACTTAATAATTACGTATGTCATGATAGTTTGGGGTGATAATAAAGAAGAAGATAATGAAATGAACGATGATAGTAGAGTGATTAAACAGCAAGAAAGTAGTTTTTCCGTCATGATAGATTCACTGGTAATTCTGAAATCGATGATGAATAACAGTTCATCAAGCTCTCGCATTCGCGATGTAGAGAAGCCTTCTAAGTTTGAGGTGAATTGTGGCGATGATGGGTCAATAATTACTGTGAAAACCACATGTTAATAAGATAACATTATATTTAAACAATAACTGTCTTTTGGCTAGTCGCTCTTAACATTCTCACGCGGGATGGAAAACTTCAATCAGCATCTGGTACTTAAATGTTAACAACGTAATTCAGATGATTTTCAGGAAGATTTTTTTCGACAATGACCGCCGAATATTCTATTTATTTTTTGTGATTATTTATTAATGTTTTTCTAATTATTCTACTTTATAGAATAATCTTTTAATTCATACCACTTCAATTACATAAATTCAACTCTTCATTAATATAGTACAATATATAATTCCTAATCTTTTATATTCATAACCTTCAAATTATTTAATATACAAATTTATAACTCCTTAAAATCAAACTTATAAAAAAATCACTTTTGAGACATATATTATGATTATTTTATTTTCATTTTTTTTTTAATTTTTCATCATGTATTTTTGTTTTCCTTAATCTAATTTTACGTCTAAATTTTGTTATAAATTAAGTTGACAACGTTAGATGCAGGGTCATTTGGACTCGCAAATTTAAATGTGATGCTATTGATTGATTGTGAAAATGCATCATTGAGATCTTTCCTTATAAAATAAGGACATATGAGGTGGGGATTGAACAAAGATAGCTTGAATAATTTTGACTGTCATTTCATTTTTCGATGCTTATATCCCATCATCATTATGGGTGATGTTGACAGTGAAACGAAAGAAAATAATGAAATGGATCATGATGGTGGAGTGAATAAACACGATCAAATAGTTCTTCAGCCATGATAGATTCATCTAATGAGTCAGGATCGATGATGAATGATAGTTCATTAAGCTCTCTTAATCATTAAATATAGAAGCATTCTAAAATTGAGATAAATTATGGTGATAGTGGGTCAATAATTAATGTGAAAGCCACTTATAAAAAAAGGTATTGTCAAATTTAAGTTTGACCTTTTGATAGGTTCCTCCAACTCTATGAAGACTGTTCAAAGAGGTTTAAATCGTAGACTATTTCGATTCATGTATCTTGTTGACAAAGAGGAATGAGTGATGTTTGTAAATTATGCAGATTTGTATGAGTGTCTAGAGATACTGAATTTTGATGGTGGTTGTATTATCAAAAATTTTATTTGTGATACTCATGTACTCTAGGTAGTTTAATAACTGTCTTTTACCTAGTGACTATTAACACCCTTATAGAGGTCTGAAAGCTTAAATCAACATTTGGTACTTACAATGATAACAACGCCACTCTAATGACGAGAGTTAAAAGTTTACACATGAATCACTAGTAGTATGTTCAGTAAAACTATCAATGGTCAAGGATTCCTTTATTTTTTTTTTTACATTTTCTCTATACAACCCGTTAGTTTGTTTTGGAAATTTGGATTATTTTGACTCTTTCAAAAAAAAAAATTAAAGGAATATTTTAAACTATTCGATAACTATGAGTATTTAATTGATGAAATTTTGTTCAATGAGTATTATAGTTGAATATTTATTGAGTCATATCCATAATTAATAGTTACCACTTGATCCATGTTTGGAATAAATTAAGTAAAGAGGGGTTAATAACTTATTAGTACTCAAAATATATAAGCAAGAGAAAGTAGTTAACTATAGGGTTACGCCAGTTCTCAAGAAAGACACTTCAGATTTTCTTTAATCCTTGTTTATGTAGTTGTGTGATATATATAGTGATATAATAGTAAAAAAAATTTCAAGAATAGAATAAATCAGGTCGTTATGTTGGTACTGTTTGGAAGAAATCGATCAAAATGAAAGGAAATTAAATAATTTTAAGTAATGATATCACGTGATTGACAAGAAATTTGTATGATTCCTAATGGACGACATTCTTAATGTGATGATTTCCTTTAATATGCAGTGAATGATGGGTATTTTTTTTATTGATTTCTTTTTGAATTGAAAGGCATGAAAAGTGGGTTACAATAAGTCTTAAGGTTGTTGAATTAGAGTAGAGAAAATTGTTTATACTAATTATCAAGGTTAATCATTAAATAATGTTTAGGTATAATCGTTGGGAAAAATAAAAAGGGAAAATCATTGGCAAACAAACATGTTTGCATATATGGAATCTGCGAAATTCTATGGCCATTATTTTATTTAATTATTTGTGGATTAAGCTACAACAAATTAATTATTGACCTTAAATTTTTTATTTAATTGTCATATAGTAATACTATCTGAAGTTTATGAGTATAGCTAATCAATTTTTAGTGGTATCGTGTTACATGAGTATCATCAGATTCATAATATTTAGAGGAGTTGAGGCTTAACAATAGACTTGAAATTTAACAAATAGGATCTTTGACATATAAATTATATCAAGAGTAGGAGCTTGATTGGAGATATGAGTGAGTTTTGGAGTTTATGTTAGACATATAATAAATTGAGTACCTATGAACTTGCTTACTTACGAATATTACATAATTGGTAGATTGGGAACATTTCGAAGCTTTGCGAAAAGGAAAGGAAAGTCTTGAAGATTCGTGACACGAGTTCGAC